AGAAAGTAAAACATTAGAATAAAATCAAATCATTTTTAAATATTTCTGTAGAAGCGATATGATAGAAAACTTTGATTTCATGCAAATTGTATAAAAGAATAATTTTTTTTCATAAAAATTGATAGTATTAATTATTAATATTATATATATATATATATATATATATATATATATAATTATATATTTATAATTATATTATAATTATTATATTATTATTATTATTATTATTATTATTATATTATTATATTATTATTATTTTATTATATTATATTATTATATTATATTATTATTTAGTATTAATTATTAATTCATAGTATTATTACAATTATTTAAATGTTAAGTAATTATTTTTTCTGAAGGTCTGCATTTTCATGGATGAGAAACCTTGAGATATGAAATCGTCACTACTGTGAGGTTTATAATCGCATATAGTAAATTACATAATTTTTATTTTAATTAAAATTTTTATTTTTTAAAAAATAGAAGACATGAATTCACGAAAATAGAATAATTTACTTTAAATTCTTATAAAACGAAGTTTCAAAGTGAAATGATTTACTGGTTTTATGGATCACGCTCATCACCACCATCATAGTTCTCATTATCTTCTCCTTCTCCTCCATATTCTTCGTCCTCCTCTTCTCCTTCTGCTGATTCTTCTTCTTCATGATTTGCAGCTTCTTCTTCTTCTAATCTTTCAATTTGCCGCAATATTTCGTCAGCTGTGGACGGAAGATTTTTTTAAAAATTTTTTCTAAACCGCTGTTTTGTATGCCGCAGCACTTCGAGCATATGAGTTTTAAATTCTTCCTTATTTAAAGGACCTTGAAAATTGATACACCGTTTGGAAGATTCTGGAAAAATAATTAATATATAATAGAATCAACGACAGAAAATATTAAATTGGCATAAATGTTATGGATTTTATAACACTTGTAGTTATTTGTAGCTAAAAATTAACTAGTTTTGCTTACGATAAAAAACATTCGCAACTTTTGTCTCGCTAAATTTTATGGTATCGTCTTGTCCATTCCAAGTAAAACTGCAAACTAGCTTATCTGATATTGTCTGACGCATTGCACATGACAAAAAGCTTCTCAAAGAAAACCCTCCATTGTTAAGTAAATGTTTATACTGGAAAGAAAAATATTAATAAATATAATCAAGTAAATAGTTACTTTATTAAATAATATAAAATATAAAAAAGTTCCTTACAAGTTTTGCGCGAGTCTCCTTTCCATCTTCTGATTCGAACTTATTAAATTCCTCAAGTTCTTTTAATGGGAATCCTTTGAGAGGTGATGAGAATGTTTCTGACAATTTCTCTGTTTCTTCATTGCTAGTTTTGTCTAATTTTTGAAATATCAAGACCAGTTGTTGTATGATTGTCTGATTTTGTGCCGTCAGAAAACTAATAAAATGCGAAAAAATAATATCTTGTTCATTGTACATGCAGAAACGTTTTAAAAAATTATCATATGAAAATTATTAGGATACCAAGTGATTTATAAACAAGATTTTAAAAGAAAATTTGTTTTCTGACAAACATATATTAGGAGTAATTTTTTAAGACCTGATAAATCCAAATTTTTTCATTTCGGGAAATTTAAACAAATGGTATTTCTCACATAATCACGAATGTTAACTTTAATTTAGAAAAATAGTAATAAATTTTTTATTTTAGCTGATTGATAAAAGTTGAAAAATGTTGTGCAACAGTTATTTAACATTTTGTGAACAATTCAAATCGCAAATAAAATCAAGAAATGTTATTAAATTCGAATTGCATTTTTTTCAGATTAATAGGTCTTAATTTTCAATGTATAAAGATTTCTTATATCATGTAATCATAGGACAATTTTAAAAGTAATATGTTTTACTTACTCCATTCTTTCCATCAACTCTGTATGCATACGATAAAAGGCTTCAATATAATTTTCTTCTTGTAATTTCATTAAATCGACATTCAAACTCGGATTCGATTGGGCAACATAGATTGCAGATTCTCCAAACCCAATTGATGCTTGTTTTTTTGAAAGTGCTTCTCCTGCATGAACACTGTCTACGGGAACTTGTATTTGTGTCTTTGTAGCCTCGTCATTCCTAAAAAAATATTGAACAAAATATTAATATTTCAAACCATACGCTATGCATCTTTTATATTTTTAAATTTATTATCTGATCATTACAAACTGACAAAATAATTGCAATGGAAAATTAAAATAGATGAAATGTATTTTAATGTATTAAATAATAAGGTAAATGTCCCTATTTGTGAACATTTGCTCATATATGTGCAAATTTAAATGAAAATCAATAAAATATAGTGTAGTAAGTAGTTACTTTTTATCGAGTAAAGTATTTTTTGTTATGAAACGGTATTTAGTTTTAGAGTTTAACAAAAAAAACTAAATATTTATAAATTAACGTGAGTGTTTATTAGATTTGATATTAATTTACCTTTTTCAAGAACTGCTGCATATTAAGCTTATTTGGCTATTTGGCGTATTTTGGCTTATACATAAAAAATATAAATTAGTTCTCAAATCGGTACATTAACCTTTTTTCATAAAAATATAACAATTTACTATACTTTGCCAATAAAACTTTATTTAAAGTCATATTTACTTTAAAAATTGATATTTCTTCTTATTAAAAGTAAAAATTTTTATAACAAGAAATATAAAAGGCATTTTTTCACTATTAAGTGTAGTAGAAATTTAAGTTGTCCATAAATTGGGACATTTACCTCATAACATGTTAATATTATATAAATATAATTATATTTTTATATTCTTAATGGATTTTAATAAAACATTATACATGTTTTATCAATATGTTAAAACTTCAATATTCAATAATGAATACGCACTTGGAAATCTCTTTTAAAGTTTGGCTATTAGTATCAGCATGCACTTTTGCTTCAAAAGTTGTTTTTAAAATAATATCCTCTTTCTCAGAATGCATCTGTGTTTGAGTAACAGATATAGGACCTAATATTTCCGTAGTCGAAGTTTGACCTCCAAGTGAAACTTCATTCGATTTTTGCTCAAGAGTAATGTGTACAGGCTTTTTGCTAAAAAATATAATAATATTGATAATACGTCGGCAAACATGGGAACTTCCTTTTTTTCATAATTGAAGAAAAGCTTAAAACAGGAAATAAAAACAACAAAAATTTTTCGTATTTTTTTTTGAAAACTAATGACATTATAAAAAGAATGATACCTGATCGAAAAATTTTTATTGTGTTTTTTGTGAGATACAAAAAAAAATGTATTTTGCATGCTTTTCATAATTTTTTAATTTTTCGGAAACTAATTAGCGTTTTTTAACGTTCTTGGACTTATTTTAGTTTCAGCCGTAAAAGTGAGATAAAAAAAATTCAAAATTTATCAAGAATATTAATGTAGAAAAAATGTCAGAGTAAAATATTTACATTTAAGATACACTAAACTTCTCATTGAAAGCTTTTTCACTATTCTTTATTTACTCAATTTAAAAAAATTATTTTTTTGTTGGAAAAGTGCACATTTATTTTTTGAAATTTTCTGATCCTATTTTCACAACAGGAAATTTTTTTGAAAAATATATATATATCAAAACACCAGTAAAAAATTAAACATTAAATAGCGAATAAAATAAGTCCAAGAACGTTCCAACGCGTTAATTAGTTTTCAAGAAATTAAATAATTAAGAAAAGCATGCAAAATACATATTTCTTCCAGTATCTCACAGAAAACATAACAAAAATTCTTCAATCAAGTGACATTTTTTCATTTTTTTCTGAAAGCTGATGATTTTATGTCATCAGCATTCAGAAAAAAATAGGAGAAATTTTTTTTATTTTTCACGTTATAGGAGGTTTTTATTCATTAAAAAAGGAACTTCCCCATACGCTAATACATTCAATAAATAAACTTTTAAGCATAAAATTAAAAATATTTCAATACTATTATAAAATATCAGGATAAATATTCTACAAGTTATTCGATACATGTAATTAATAATTGTGTGAATTTCGGCAGGAATAAATACCTCAATAATCAATTTTAAAAACAAACTGATAAAACATATTCGCAACTATCAATACATAAATATACAGTTGTTGCAATATGTCAAGCATAATAAAAAAATACTTACACTGAATTTTCTAGCAACTCTTGATTTAAAGCAGAATTAAATTCGAGTGGAGAACATCTAATGAAATCCACAATAATTGAGTTACTTTGAGGTGATTCACTAAAAAAATTATAAAAATAGTCATAAAGATGTATTATTATGGCAAGATGTACTCATTTCACTCTTTGAATTTAATAACTTACTACTTACTGTGAATTATTTAGCAATATTTGGTTCGAATTTTCAATTTGGGCTTTTGCAGAATATTTCTCTACGATATTTATAGGCGGGAATATTACTTCATTACTAGTTATTGAAGGACCTCCTAATTTACTTGATGAAACTTGCTGTGAAATTGAATGTACGTCTGAATGGTGAAGAATGGTTTTGTCAGCTGTCTTTGCAGGACTTTTCCTAAAAATGAAGTAAAATTAACTTTTTCATTTAATGACTTATATTTTGTTTTGTATTTTAAATTTATAAATTTTTGAAAATAGATCTGTAATATTTTAAATATTATTTCAAAATTATTAGTCAAATTGTTTTTGCAAATATATATTATAAAAAGTATTTTTTATGGTATACTACAATTACTATATGCATGTATGAAAATTTATTTCTGTAAAAATATAGTTTTGCGTAATTGTTAGAAAAGTCTTAAATTTTAATTTAGTAAACAAAATTTTTTTCTAATTTTACTGTTATTTATGTAAAATACGTACAAACTTTTCTTTGAAATTTCTGTTGAAGAGCCTGGCAAATAATTTGACAAATTTGATTTATTTGCATCTTCCTTCTTTTTAACTTTAGCGAATGCTTCTTTTAAAATTTTCATTTGTTCATCTACATTTGAAGTTTTCTTGGACTTCTTTTTGGGTGGAGCTTCATCAGAAGATGTTATTACTTTTTGTGTACGTTTAAGCGTCCTGCCTTTACTTGATATTTTTAGTGGGTGCTTATCCTTTTTCAAAGTGGATATTTTCGCAACGCTTTCCATGATGCTAATCTGTACTTTAAGAAAAATTAATGTTACATTTTTTAATTTTTTATTTAAAGTACACTAATGTAGGAAATTGGCGTAGATCGTTTCAAATTTCGTTTTTATCTTGGAAATAAAAAAAGTGTTGAAATGTAATAGAGGTAAAAACCGTATAATTTCTCTAGAACTCTTTCAAAAATAAAGTATTTTAACAAGGCAAAATATCGATATTCATAGAGTGTACTTTGACAGTTTTTGTACTAATCAAAGCGACAATTTCCTACGATAGCTTTCTTTTCTTATAAAAATGGGATGGTCCATAAAACATGGGATACTTTAGGGTAAGGGGGGTCCGTAAAATATCATGCATTATAGAAAGGCTTCATAACGGGGGAGGGAGGGTTAAAAATTCAGAAATTAAGTATCACAAAGTTTATCGATGACACCAATATGAATGAATAAGAAGAAGCAGGTTTCTAAAAAACAGATTTCACACAATTTTTTTAGTTCATTCCAAATAATATTTCTTAATGTTTGTAAAGGTATGATTTATGATAATCAATTTGCAGTAGTTATCCCAAGATATTTTATAAAATACGTTTCTTACATATATCCTTTATATATATATTTCAAATTAACAATTTTAATGTTTTTATTAAATACATTTCAAGTTTCTACAAAAAATATTAGTATAACATAGACTTAATTACATTAAAAACAATTTGAAATTTTTCGAATAAAAATAAATTTATTTATACAATTTAAAGTCTTAATTCTTAAAAATCGTTCTTACTATTTAACTTCTAGAACAATAAAATAAAATGAACATAGTACTTAAAAAAACTTAAAATGCCTTTAAACATTATACACTCAAATCTCGCTATAACGACCTTCTCCAAAACGAGCGCTCTCTAAAACGAGGACTCTGTCTTTCGCTATAGCGAGAAAAATTTCCTCTCGATTACCCCTACTATTTATAAACAAATGCACATTCTGTTGATTTAAATTTGGTTAAAATAAATTTTATTCATATCATAATGAGCATAAAAAGTTACTTCTTTTTTTAAATTATGTCAAGGAGTCGAACATCTTAAAAATTTTAGCTTATGTAAATTTTCTGTATGTTGAAGTTCAAATTAAACTAGGTTACGTTTGTAATTTTGACATTACGTAAATTGTAAACACAAAAAAAAATGAATGAAGAATCTTAAAAGTGGGGATATTTCATTTCTTCTCTTGCGCTCGTAATAGAAGGAGACTTGACTCCCGAACTTCTCGTTATAGCGAGATTCGAGTGTAATGTAGATTGGAGGATATTAGATGATAAGTAAAATTTATTTATATTTTGATTAAGTTTTGTAAAAAACCAAAGTTATTTTTCATGCTTTTTTCCCCAAAATCATGTATAAAACTTAAAAATAAAGAAAAATTAGCTTACAAGTGCCTAGCAGCTTTTGAAAGCAAAAATATGACTGTGCAAAATAATATGAAAATACACAAAAATATTTTTTAAAAAAGTAATTTAGAAATGCATTATAAAATACAAACAGCACAATAAACTTTTAATACCATGTATTTCTAAAATTATATCAACTCTACAAAACGAGTCCAAAAGAAGCTGATAAAAAGGTGTGGATTGAAATAGATTAAAATGATTAGAAGTATGGCTGAATTCTCGCAATCATTTTAATTTAAACGAATGAGGTTTTTGTCCATCAATAAATTTATTCAAATCACACTAATCTATTTGAACAAATTTAAATTTAGTTGAATTCCTGTTAACATTTAAAGTGAAATCAATTTAATCCAGTTTAGTGCTGTCTAGAAATTTTGCAAAGTGAAATCATTTGAATCCTTTCTCGAACATAAACATTGTTAGCATTTTAATTTTTATGGATTAAACTGATTACAAATATCAATTTACAGTCATTTTATTCAAACCAATATCGTTTTCGCCCTTTTTGTTATATCATTTAAATTGATTTTAATACACACCTTTTTACAGCGAATTAATTCCTATTTAAAAAGCCTTATGATTGAATAAAGAAGCAATAGAAGGGAAATTAAAAAAAAATTTTAAGCAACGCAAAAACATACCAAACCAAAAGAGAAAATATACTTTACAATTTACCACAGCAATTTACCACAAAAATTTTTTATTAGTTAAATAGGTACAGATACGTAAAAGCATTTTTGTATATGGATGTTGATGAATTTTCTTACATTTATAACAAACATTATTATTTTAAAAACGTACTACAAAATTCAAAGCTACGTTTCTTCATTTTTATGCTTTTAAAAATCATAAACATTTCACACCGTTTTTTTTCAGATTTATATTTTTAAGTAATAAATTTTTATGCCTCACTTACATGAGTATATACAAAGTGCGTCTTGCAAATAGTCAGCTTCAGTTTCATTTCACATATTTTCAGGCAATGTGAAAGGTGACAATAAAGAGGCGCAAATCCAATGGTTCGGAATAGCGTGTTCTTCTTCACCTTCAACATCACTCCATTTTGGCATCCTGTACATTTTTCTTTCAACGTATGTAATTGGAATTGCTTTCAGTCTTAAGTCCAAATCCTGACAAGTGTATACTCCAACCGAAGTAGATGATATTCCAATATTATATAATTCGTTGACAATTCGAAAGTTTTGAACAATCAAAAAAATGTGTTCCTCTGTTTGTATTATATTATTTATAATACAAATTTCGGAATTCTTTAAAATGCAACAATTGTCCCGCAGCGCCGTAGACAATGTGCATTTGCCAACTGCAATCTTTCTAAATTGTTCACAAATATTAGCATCAATATCTGCAGGCAAAGGTCCTTCCTCATGCCGTTGTGATAGTTCAATTCTTATATTTCGATCAATAGGAGTTAAAGCGTAATCCTCTTTTTCACATATTCGTTTATATATTTGGGGTAATTTCAGACCCGGCTTTCGAATAAATTTACGTAATTCCTGCATATTATTTTCGTAACGAAATGCACTATGAGTATCCGCAGGACCGAGTTCTTCTACATCGTCTACTAAATGTAGCACACTGTGGACGTTGTAAGAAAGAAACTGCTCCCCGTATAACACTTCACATAGTGTAAAGTAAGATTTCAACGCCTCTCTACAAAAAGGATACATGTCCCTTAGCGTGTTTGATGAATTAAGAAGACGCATGGAACTATGGAGGATCATTAAGTGTGTATAATAATCCTCATCGAAAACATTTTTGACAACTGCAGGTGAAGTGTATAGTAGAAATTGTCGGAATTCCGTCCCTTTGAATGCATGATATTTTGTTAAGACTTGTGGACGTCGGTTAAAATCTGAAGGGCAAAAGAGAATAAGCTCGCTCATTCGAGCATCAAGAATTTGCAATTTTCTTACATTCAACCTCCGAAATCCAAATTGTCCGCCTACTTGAGCACACAAAATCTTTTTCGTATTTCCTAAATAAACAGAATGTAAGACTTCGAAGGGAACACGTTTTACTAGTGGTAACAGAGCAGCTAGAGGACTTCCACCCTTTTGATGATCTTCGTCTATTAAATTTTGGTATTCCTCATCTGTACGAAGTGGATGTTCATCACCAGGAAAAACCATTGTCCTTTCAAATCCTGGAACCGTAGATCTGTGGCCTTCAACCTTACATTTAGAACAGGGATTTGTTGAATTATGTTTGTAATGATTCAAAACAAACGCTCTAGCCTCAGCGTCAGCAATGAAGAGACGTACATTCAAAAAACAAAGTTTGTTTCTAACGAGAACTCCATTTTCTTGAACATCCATAAGTTCCTGAGCAAATGCTTCATAAAATTCGAATGGGTTAGAAGGCTTATGATTTCCTTGGAATATGCCAGCTATAATGGGACGATCATCATCAATATTTAGGATTCGATACTGATGAGGCCAGAATTGATCCGCACCTTTGTCAACTTTTGCACCATCTGTGCTGAAATCGATGTCTATCGTATCTGGCAATAAGTTTACGGGAATATTTTCCAATTTTTTGACTAGTGTTTTCTTGAAACCAATGTGCAAATACTGACCACCAGCTAAATTTTGAACTCTAGTGCTGGCAACTATAGTTGGAGTGTTCATGACTGTTCTGGAATCTTTAGGCAGCCAATACATATTAAAAGGAAATTGACGCAATGTTTTTAATAAGACATTTCCTTGACTGTGATTTATGTTAGCTGCCAAAAAAGCATTTTTTAAACTCCTCCTTTGCAAACCCACTATATCTTCCTGAACAGCATTGTCCCGATTTTCGTCATCTGACGCACTTAAATCATCATCTTCATTCGCTACTGCAATTGATATTTCTGGCTCAAAGTCATATTCATTGTCTTCTTCGTAAGAACTGACAGTCTCATTGTCATCGCTATCGTTACTGACACCACCATCATCATCATCATCAGGATCGGGATTAACGTTGATATCATGATTATCAACAATAGCATTAACAACATTATCATCAACAGCGTTATCAACATTATCATCAGCAGGATGATTAACCCCATCATCGAGATCGTAATTAATATCAGCGTCGTTGTTATCGTCATGATTAGTATCCGAATAATCATCTTCGTCATGTAATGGCAATTGTTGTCTATTTTCAATAATCGCATCTAAACGTCTTTTTTTTTGTCTCGAACTGAGTTCCAAATAATTTTTAAATTTTTGAGACATCTTACTTCACGATAATGTAAAATCCTGGTAACAATAATTATACATGTTACTCGTATAATTAAAGGAAATTTTTTTCATTAAAATAATTATACATTTTCCAAAACTAAAAACATTTACACATAATTTAAAAACTAAATTAATTTATTTTTTACTTAAAAGATTACAATTCGGTTTTGAAAGAAGTGATCTGATTTTTGTTTCTAATGATAAGTACAAAACAAATTAGCGATAAATTTTAATAGTTCTTTATATATTTATTGTAAACAATATTATTACTTACATTTATGGACACAATATCTTTAAACAGGGTGTCTAATAAATTAAGAAAGATCAATTCCCTTACTTTTCCATGACATCCTTAAGGGGATGTCAAAGTTGATTGGATTTTTACATTGAGCTTCAATGGGAAAATCGCATCGTCTTTGACATCCCCTTAAAAGAATTCCCTGACAGATTACTAAACATAGATAACTTAATATATATTAATTAACTAGTAAATTAAAGAAGAATACGAACATTTATTAATTAGTTTAAGAAAAAGTATAAATTTCCTTCCGAATATATATTGGTTGATATTATAAAATTCGATCCTTGAAAGGTATAATAAATAGCAAAGAATATTTTGTATGTCATTCTTTAAAATTTATTGTTAAAAATAAAAAGCGATATTTCGATGACTTAGTTCGTCATCATCATCAGGCTCGTTCTGAATAATAAATGTTAACAACACTTTAAAAACTAAAGCAACACATAAATTATAAATAAATTAAAATTGATTTGACATAAATAATTAGGTAATTATTTACTATTATTTATAATTTATGTGTTGCTATAGTTTTTAAAGTCCTGTTAACATTTATTATTTAGAGCGAACTTGATGATGATGATGAACCAAGTCATCGAAACTTCGCTTTTTACTTTTGACAATAAATTTTAAAAAATGACGTAAAAACATTCTTTATGTTATTAAATATACCTTCCAAGCATCGAATTTTAATATAAACTAATTTATTAATTAGATTAAAAATAAGCGCCAGTTAAGGCTCATACAACTCGTTTTATTAATTTTATTACAAAATAAAATAAAGTTATTTTTAACTATGCAAATGCTTTGGTTTTGATGAATATTTTGCACCGGCTACTAACACATACTGGCGCACAGTATCAAATTAAGAAGTAACAAAAAATGTATGAAAATAAGTAAAACTAGTTTTCCGTTTTCCAAAAGCTACGAATAAAATCATTTGTTTTAAAATTCCAGAAAATAAAGGAGTTTCCATGACTTTTCCATACAAAAAATCAATTCCATAACTTTTCCCTGACCTGGAGAAATTCCCTGACTGTTAGATAAATAATCCCATGAAAGTATTATTATATTAAAATTTCTTTATAATAAAAATTTATTATTTTTTAAAATTAGTAACAGTTTCAATAACAATAATTTAAAGAGAATGTAAAAGAAAAATTATTTATAAAATAAATGTTTTTTACAGAATTACATAACAAGTTAATACTTAAAGAACATGAACTTAGTTAAATTTAGAATCGCAAAATAATGTTAATTTCCGTATTTAATTGTTTCTAATATAATATTTTTAAACGACATTATTCCAATGACCAATTTTTAAAATTTTAATTTCGTCTATTTAGATGAAAAGTCAAATTAAAATTCTATTTATCTTCTGTAAACAAAGACTATAATAAATAAAAACTGAATATGAAAAAAAAACAAATTTTTAAGATAAATTTTTTTTTATTTAACAATTTTTTTTGAAATCATTCTTTTTGAATCAATCAACAAAAATATTCTTTTGAATTAATGAGGCTAAACTCTACAACCTTTCTAAAAACAAAAAAGAAATTTTTTAGGTTAACTTCATTTTTAATTATCATCTGCTTGGATTTTTAAAAAAGTAATTGTTACAGTTAAAAAACAATTGGTTAAAAATAGAATGAATTAAAAGGCAAAATAAAATAAATCTTATTATATTTTTTCGTTTTTAAAAACGTTGCGGACTTCAGCCTCATTTGAATTAAATAAAAAGAAAAGATTATTTACATAAGTAATTTTTTTTAAATTAAAATGTTATTTATAAAAATGATTTTAATTTAATATTTCAGTACAATTTTGGAACTGAAATTGTTAAAAAATTCCAAATTCTTTTTTTTGAGGTTATATCTAATACAACAAAAATATATATGTACTTTAAACAAAATTTAACTTACTTATTTTGCTGCAGTAGAGAAAAATTAAATCAACGATAATTCCTCACAATAGTGTGGCAATAAAAACAATAAAATATGGAATTACAATAAAAACTTGACAACACACTACAAACCCCACAAACAATGCTGTCGCCATTATGAAATGCGTGATTGCCGATACGGGTGGTTGCGCATCATTAATTGCATGCGTATGAAGTGCAGTTCACTGCACACGCATTCACAGCATTTGCACTGTGGATGGTAAAATGCGTACGGATTGACTCTTCTAGCGAGTCGCACTTGTGAACGGAACATGCTTATACGGAAGCTTCTACGCGCCACCCTGCGGCACTCACTCGCTTTACGAGGCACAAGGCAAATGTCGTTTGAAGCACCCTGCTAGTGAATGCCTTGTACGATGCCTCGGTGTGTGCCTCGTAGGGTGCCTCGATGCGTGCTTTGTGCGACCAGTAGTAGACTATGGATTTAAATAGTGTTATATTTTATTAAGAGAAAGTGAAATGTAGTTACAATTTTGGTTTTAATAAGTCATAAATTGTGTTATTGTTGAAATATAATACGTGAAATTATTTTATTCTAAATTTTAAATTTAAAACTAACTGAGCGGCTTTACCCCGACTTCACGTGAGCGACTTTACCCCGAGTGTATTCCTCACATTTCAGAATAAATTTAATTAAATCTTTTTAAAATAAGACAAAACTATATATGTACTTCGAAGAAGGACATCCAATAGCAACAAAAAAAATTTGCCAGATAAATTAAGACTCAAAAATAATGATCGAAAAACTTAAAAATCCAAAATACGTTTTTTTTTCTGACACCTCTAAAAACATTTGATCATCTCTGATTCTATGTTGAGTTCGTGAAACTAAACGAAAGTTCGTTAATATAAGTTGAATGTCAAGTACTATTCACAGTACCAATATCTTCATCTTAAGTTGAGTTCATGGCGTAAAATCGCTAGTGAGCGGGTCTACCCTGTGAGCGGGTTTACCCCAGTCTCCCCTAATTAAATTTCTGCCAAGAATTTGATTACTTTTAAAAATAATTTATTATTTTCAATCATTTGAAACTTCTCCAAAATACAAATTTTTTTTTGTTTTTATCTAAAATTCCTCGTTAATTTTTTTATTTTTAATAATTAATTAAATATATATTAAAATTTTTTACTAATTTCAGAACAATTTAAATTTTGAAATTTTTTGCAAAAATTTTAAAAATTTTCTTTTAAAATTCAATTAATTTAAAAATATTGAAGTAAAATTATTCATGAAATAATTTCTAGGTTATAATTTTATGATATAGTTCTTCAAGAATTAAGTTATTTAAACAGTAGAAATTATTGTAGAAATGGAAAAAATTGAAGGTTTTGCATTAGAATTTTGGTTTTTCTAGAAACAACTATTAATAATATTTTAATTTGTTTTCTATAGGTCTACATTCTGTTGAATAAACTACCTTATAATTTTTAAAATTCTTTACGATATCTATACCTATTATTTAAATCATTATCATAAAAATCTATATTTATATTATGTTGTGGTGTCAATAATCTAATCAAAAATAAAACTCCCTGAATTCTATAACATGGAGTCTAAATTTTATTATTACACTTTGAAAAAGATTTCAAAAAAGGAAAATTTTTTTATTTTTTATTAGAAAAAGGTGAAAAAGGGGACAAATCCTTAAAAGGTGATAAAATTGAAATAAGGGGGCAAAAGTGGAAAAAAGGACCAACTGTGATGACCCCATAACCTCAAAACCTGTAAAAATTAGAAAATGTTTTTAAACGCAAACAAATAAGTATAATAAAAAGGAATTACAAACAATTATAGAAGATCTAGTTTTAGTCAACTGAGTAATAATTTTTTTAAGATTTAATTTTTTTCTTTTAGATAAAAAAAAGTTTGAAAGTTTTAACCAATGTTTATAAACAATAACTCAGTTTCCTCAGTGAATCATTCTCTATAATTGTAATATTTTTATTGTTTGTAATTATTATTTATAATACTTTTTTTGCTTTAAAAACAGTTTTTAATTTTGAAAGGTTTTTGAGGTTATGTTACAATCACCATGATCACCATCCTTAAAAGATTCACACAAACAGAAAGAGAAAAATGTGCTATCTGAGCTGAGCCGGATTCCTTTTGGGAATCTACAGAAAATTTGTATACTTAGTGATTCGTAAGTTTGAAGTTAAAATATTTTAACTAACCCTACTAAAAATAAAATCAGGAATGGTCAGACAAATTAGCAGGCCGCCTGACCACTTTAATCCAGTTTTCTTACGATTCTGGATGGATCTCGTCAGAAATCTATCACAACTGATCAGGAGGAAGTTTAAAGTGGTCACAAGTTTGCTACTATCCCCTCCTCTTTGTTGACCACGCCCATAATTGGTGACTATTTGAGACCATTTGTATCTCATTTTTGACCATATTTTTAAGCCACTTCTGTTTTATTTATTTAAACAATAAGCAAAAAGTTGCAACAAATTAATTTTAAAAAATATATTTTATTAATTAATATCAGTTTGTTTACATACGGAACAACTTGAAACTAATTCCCGGAATTAAATTAAAATTTGGACCCTACGGGGATCGAACCCCGACGCATGACCTAACCTAGTGCCTAAACTAACTGCCCTAACGACTGCGACTACCGAACCGACTTACATATTTCTGGATTCAACTGTCTATATAAAGAGCAACTGTAAAATAGTAAAATTCAATTACCAATATTATCAATAAATCAGAATAAACTGTTAAATAATTTTTATTTATTAATTATATTTCAATTTAGTCATAATAGGTTATGTGAATTAATAAAAATTAACATTATTAATTGAATCAATAATAAATTAAGTCTTAACTTTACAATTTGTAATGTTTTATAAACTATAATACGAATACAGATTAATAATAATTATTATTATATCTGCATTTAAAATGAATTTACTATTTAATATTAATTTAATTAAACATTATAATTTATAATAATAATGAATTATTAATGCAATATTGAAATTTTTATAAATTTTAAATTTAAATTATTAATAGTCATTATAGTAAGAAATTATTCTATTAATGATTAATAATAATTTAAATATAACTGTATTTCAATTATAATGCAAATACTTCTCATAATAAGTACTGACTGGTATAGTAAATTACTAATATTATGAAACAAAATTTATTATTAATTAACTATATTAAATAATTACAAGTAAATATACATATATTAAATTAATATATTATAAATATACATTAAATAAATATATTAAATAATGTTAAAAGAATGGTCCGAATGTTTTGATTTATTTACCTACTTTTGCTGTATAATTAATTCAATAATTATACCAATTTGAAAAATGAGAACTTTTGTCAAGTTAAAAGAACAATTTTTATAATAGAATAATGTATTCTGAAATGTAAAAAATAAATTTGAAAGATTTTATATGTATACATATGGGCAATTCCACGTGAGATTTCAGTCGACCACTTAAAATCGGCCAAAAATATTTTTTTTCTATTCTGTATTGAAAAAAAACAGATACGTATTTTTTTATTATTTTTTTGGAGGCCAAATTTTTGAGTTATGAATTTTCAAAATTTTCGTTTTTTAAATGAAGATATATTTTTAATGTCAGATAACTCAAAAAATATTGCTTCTTTTCATTTTTTGACAAGAAAAAAAAAGTTTTGTTTTTCTCTCTACTTTTGAATAATCATAACAAAAAATTTTTTTTTTCATTTTTTATTAAAAAAATAAAAAAATTTTATAAACAAATTAATTTTTTTTAAGTTTGGGTATGATAAATTTTTAATTTTCTTTTTTTAAAACATACCTGGAAATGATAAGAAGGTTTTGCAAAAAGTTTCAGAGTGGGCCTGACAAGTTTGATGGGTCCAAAAAAATAATTAAGCTGTCCGTGCAGGTCGCACGCACGCGGCACAATGGGAATTTTTTACAATTTTTAATAATAAATTGTAAAAAAATCCCATTGTGCCGCGTGCGTGCGACCTGCACGGACAGCTTAATTATTTTTTTGGACCCATCAAACTTGTCAGGCCCACTCTGAAACTTTTTGCAAAACCTTCTTATCATTTCCAGGTATGTTTTAAAAAAAGAAAATTAAAAATTTATCATACCCAAAGTTAAAAAAAATTAATTTGTTTATAAAATTTTTTTATTTTTTTAATAAAAAATGAAAAAAAAAATTTTTGTTATGATTATTCAAAAGTAGAGAGAAAAACAAAACTTTTTTTCTCTTGTCAAAAAATGAAAAGAAGCAATATTTTTTGAGTTATCTGACATTAAAAATATATCTTCATTTAAAAAACGAAAATTTTGAAAATTCATAACTCAAAAATCTGGCCTCCAAAAAAATAATAAAAAAATACGTATCTGTTTTTTTTTAATACAGAATAGAAAAAAAATATTTTTGGCCGATTTTAAGAGGTCGACTGAAATCTCACGTGGAATTGCCCATATATAAATTTTCATGAGACTTTACCAAAATTAGAAAGATGTACCAACATTTTTATAGGTTATGTGTTCACACATTTCAGAAATAGTCAAGAATTTCAGAAATGGTCAGGAATTTCAGAAATGGTCACAGCTTTGAAAATGGTGGGAGTAAAGTGGGAGGAGCTTGGAAAGTATTTGGTTAGGAATGGTGAGAAACGTTCGAAAACGTCAGAAGTGGTGAGACTGTTCAGAAATTCTGACCATTCATGACGATTCCTGATTTTATTTTTAGTAGGGAACACAAATTTGATTTCTATAAAAATGTATATTCTACTCAAGGAAAAATACATAATTTGTAATAAAAATTATAATCAAAATATTTGGTTATATTAACATTATAAATATACTTAGAAATTTACTCACATGGCTTAGAAGAAAAACGCAGAAACGTGGTAACGACGGATCGTCGAATTCTGAAGAAGCAGCGAACAGTGAACTATAGTGTGGTAGTGAAGCGAGCGTTCTAAAAACCATTAAGAAACGCGATTTGGCTAATACGTATGCGTTTTTAAAGACATTTTTTACAGACTCGACAAATAGTGAAAAATTGAAGGCGGTTCCAGAATAGGTGCAAAAGGCAAGAAGTGCAAGTGCGAACCAATGCTAAATGTATAGGAATCGCACTTGGACTTGCTACCTGCCTTTTGCACCTATTCTGGAACCGCCTTGAAATTTTCAAGTTTTGTTTTGATAGTTAATGCCTTCTTGCGTTTATAAATTATATATTTTTTACATACCCTTATTTGTGACTGGATCCGCTCTGATCTATCTATATATAATAGAAAATAACTTTTTTTCACAATTTCTATTGTAACAATCACAAATAGTGTATAACAGTCTATTCACTAAGCCTCAAATGTGCATTTGGTTGTCTGCTACCGTATGTCCGTATGACGTGAAAGACTACGTGCACTGCACAGTTCAAATAAGCAAACTTGAGCAGGCTTGTCGCCGCCCGGACTATTTTGCGTTTATTCCTGTAATGTGCATCTTTCTTGCACCGTGGTCCCAATCGTCAGATATAGTCAACAAAATATTTTTGTTTTTTTCTGTTTCTGTAGTTGTTTGTGTTAACAAAAATATGGATACAAAAATGTAATTCGATACGAGGGAATAATAAAAGGGTAAGAATATGAATTTAATACATTAATTGTACACATAGTAAGTAAATACTTGTATAACAGTTTTAGGTTATGTTTTTTGCAACCGAAAAAAGCTACCTTGTAAACAATTTTTTAATATTACGTATTTACAATGAAACGGTATTTCAATAGTCAAAATTAAAAATTTAATAATTATAAATAAATTAATATAATTGAATTTTGTAGATAAAAAAAGTATAATTCTGTTAAATTTAAAAGTATAGGAAATTCAAAATAAGGTCAATTGAGTACAAATGTACTGAGATAAACACCTAAATATGAAAAAGGTTCAGCTGACTCAAGGCCAAGGTTATGAAAGAAAAGAGAAAATTTAATATTTGAAAAGTATAAAAATTGTTTAGAAATTTGAATAAATATTAAAAAGATAAATTATAAAAAATTAACACAATGTTAATTTTCTATTTAAAGTGTATATTTTATTTTTTATAAATAATATTAATTTTATTAATTAAATTATTTAATTATATTATGTTAGAATAAATAAAGTTATGGTAAAATTTGTATCAATAAAAAGATAAAAATTGATAGATATTGTTAGCAACATTTAAAATCATTATAAGTTTATTATTTAAAGAATTATTTAAATTTGAAAGAAATAAAATAAATTCATGGAGAAAAGTAATTGACAGCTATACAATGGCATTGTTCTCGGGAAAACGTTAGACATTTTGGAGACCAAAGAGAGAGAAAATATATTGCTTTCCTTACTGGTGAAGTTTAAATTGTATTGGTCAAACAAAGATGACGCGTTATGAATTTCCATAAGTAGGGAGAACGATAGCTTCGCAAAACGGAAGTCACGCGGATTTTTCATACTAACTGGAAGGAAATAAGGGCGAAGATAAATTCTAGAAGGTTCTAGAAGGTTCGATAGCGTCTTTTGCAGGGTATATAAACAGCGAAATCGAAGGCTTCGCTCTCTCATTTCTATTCTGATACTTGAAAGGGTAAGCATGTACACTTATCATACAAAAACACTTAAGAATATTATATACTTGTAATATTCAGGAGTTCGTTGTTTTTCAACTTCCAACCTGTTATTATAAGTTGTAATTATTATAATTACAAATACAATATTATAATCTGGAGATATTCAGGAGTTCGTTGTTTTTCAACTTCCAACCTGTTATTGAAAGTTATAATTATTAACATTTAATATAAATACACTACAAATCGTAAAAATTAACAAGAATTTGTTGTTTTACAACTTATATCCTGTTTATCATAAAATAATCTTCAAATTCAAGCCCTGGAATTAAAATTTGAGAAGCTCGCCCTGGGGGAACGGGTTGATGCTTTCTTGACGCGAAAACGTCAAGAATCCGTCAAAAGTTGACGTTAACAAAAAAAGTGTTTTAAATGCAAAAATATGATAAAGTATGTATTGGGTTTTGTATAAAAAGTGTTTATTAATCGTTTATGACCATATTTGTTACAAATTAATGTAAATTAAGTGAAATAAAAGATAAAATATGTGGAAATGTCAAGTGAATGTGTATTGATAAATTAGTGTGTATTTATTGAGAAAGTGTTATTGTCATGATTTTTTAATGTCAGATAAATAGTTAAAAAGTGTAATTTTATTATTATAATGTGTTATAATTAATAAAAGTTAATGTTTTAATAGTATGAATAATGTATATATAGCAGCTATGAAAATAGTGAAGGACGGTTACCTACAATAACTGTTGATATGTCGCCGCGCGTTTTGCACGACAGATGGCGGGAGTGGCATTTGTCCATGTGTTTTATCACATGAAAATTAAACAAAAATACTATTTTTACATTGCAAGATACTTATAACCTTTCTTTGAATTATTTAAATTCAAAGAAAATAATGATAAATAATGTATAACTACTTAAGGACGCTGCACGGTGAGAAATATTTAAAAGTACGCATAGGCGTAGCGAGCGATTTCTCCTCAACTTCCACTCTTTTCCCCTCTTTTCGTCCATCTTGGTGAAATTTTTTGACTTTGATAATTAATTAAAAAAAATCCAGATTGAAAATGAAAAAAAGGGCGATTTAGGGAAAAATAATATTTAATAGAGAATATTCAACAAGTTTTCTTATGACGATTAGATGTTTCTATGGGCGTGAATATCAATCCGCGTTTTCCAAAACATAGCAAACTGACAGCTCAATATGGGAGGTTAGCCATGGCCGACTATATCAGGTTGCACCGTTTGCGTAGTACAGTAGAAATGAACGTGAGGAACAAAAATATTAAATGTCAATTATACTCTCATTGTTTACTATTACATTTATTATTTGTTTATTTATTTATTATTGTTATTATATCTATTATTATTTATTATTTTACTTACTTTTTTAAAATATTATTATGGAAAAGTATTAAAACAATAAAGGAAAATTTTTTATGAAAAAATTATTAAACAAATAAAATTTCTAAACAAAAAAAAAGTAAATAATAAAAAATTATGAAATGTATAATTTTAAAAATTTTTTATTGTTATTTTTATTATTGATATTTTTAAGTATATGAAAAATCTAATTTAAATATTCCACAAAATTAGTTTTAAAGTAATTTTTTATAAGGAATTCAACGGTCATAAAATAAAAGCGGACAGAAAATATTTTGACCCTTTTTCAATTATCATTTTTCTTAAAAATTGGTGGATTTCGAAACACACGCGTAATTTGGTAGAAAATATGTTTTTAAATCCATGAAAAGAATTCCAAATGAAATCGATGATTTTCATAATTACCTATAGAAGTATTGTTTTGAAAAAAATCTTTGTTTTTAAACTGAAAATTCTAAAAATAACATTGTTATTCAATTTTTCTATATGGAAAATTATTTGTTTACTTATTTAATTTCTGATCAAAATTTAATCTTAATTTTTCTGTATTTCTATTTTTCATCAATAAAAATTACGATATGAAATTATTTAGAAAAATAAATGTCAAAAAATGCCCTTTTTTAATAAAAAAAAAGCTGCAATGTATTGAAAAAAGACGAAAATTTAATAATCTACTTCAAAAATTGTTAGAAAAAAATTGCAAACATCAACGTCGTTTTCTCAAGACAAAAATGATTTTCATAATTGGAAATAAATTCTGAGTACCTCCGTGTTTCAGAAAAAGGACTTTTTTTCATAAAAAAGATCCAATTTTATGACAAAAATTATGTTTAATAATATTTTCATAAAAAATTTACATTACTTTGTTTTATACTTTTCCATTATAATATTTCTAAAAAGTAAGAATAATCTTTATAAATAAGATCAGACTTTTGTCTGTACATTGCATAGAATTTTAAATTTCATGTTTAGTTTTTCTATTCGAGTAGTAAGAATTCAAAAAATGACAATAAAAAAAATTATGTATGTATGTATGTATGTATGTATGTCTGTGTGTATGTATGTATGTATGTATGTCTGTACGCAATATTTTGTCCGGGATAAACACAAAGACTACTTGACTGATTAAAACGAAACTTTACAGTCTCTTTGGTCTTAGTCTAACTTAAATTTATAGCCATATCCGATTGAAAAATATTAAGCTGAACGAAAGTTATAGCTTTTTTCACAAAATTCAAAAAATCAAAAAAATGCAAATTTTTTAATTTTTTGGCAAATTTATGTGACACTTTCTGTAGCTACTTTTTAATATTAATACAACTAATTTTCACTATAAAAATGAAATATAAATAATATATCCGAATTTTTAAGCCAAAATCATATTTTTGATTTTCGACAAAATTTTTAATTAATTTTTTTTGCTGAATATTGTTTAATTTTTTATTAAGCTGGTAGTGATATCGATTGATGTTTTTAAATTTTTAATTACATTCATTACATTTATTTTATTAAAAAGTTTAGAGTCATGAATTTGATGCCGATTACAAATTTTCTAAAATCAATTAACGTGAGAGTTTGCAAACAATTTCTATATTGATATTTTCAGGTTTTAAGTTTGAAATTTTCATAGTATGTATTGTCATATTTAACGTAGAAAATAAAATATTTATGTTCAATAAAAAAGGGTATACAGTAAAAGTATCAATAATACTGAAATTTGACTTCAGCGGGTACTGGGACACAGAAAGTCCTTAAGATGCCATTAGGGCAAATTGGGATTTATGAATCAAAATTTTCTTTTTTTGAATTCAAGAAATGTTTTAGAAATGACTTTGAAAATAAATAACAAATTCCTATTTATGAATTAAAATTGTTCTTCTTGAATTTTATAAATGTTTGGGGTATGTTGTTGCTTTCCAAAATTCTATCCGGGCATTACGCAAAAACGGGTAAAATGTAAAATCCCATGTGGAAATTTTTAATAGGGATATGGAAAAATTATACCATACGGTTTTACATAGGAATCAATATTGTTTCCTTTGTAAAAGTGGATCCCATGTAGATTTCCCATGTGGGAATCAAAAACGTGTTATAATTTCTACTAATACATTTAACAGAGTGTCTATTAATCGCAAAGGTATCCCGAGAAATAGCCGGGAATTTAATTCGACTAGAAAAATCGGGAATTTTTTTATCTAATTAAAAAAAGTTTTATTATATTAATTCATTTTTAAAAAATTGCTTTTTGCTTTAATTTCTATTGATGTAATATTTTTATTTGTCAAAATTTAAGACTTACTTTCAGATTACAATATAGGTCTTATTTTCGATTTTAGCAGTCGTAACGTGGGGCCTACTTGCAATACAATTAGTTCGAATTAGACTCTA